TTTCTCAAAATAAATCTCAAGAGGAACAATTAAATCACAGGTTAATAAAATTATATTGAATTAAAAAAGTACAAGCGATGTGCAATTTGCACAGTACAAAGTATAGCAATAACTATTCTTTAAACAGTTTGCTCATTTCAGAGGACGAAGATACATATCTTTGAACGATCGTATCATACTTAAGGCTATTAAGGAGACTTTTTTCTACAGACATCAACATATGCGACTCTAAGTGGTCATTTGACATAGAATTTCGCAATCTTGTCTTGATTAAATTTAACAAAGAAAACGATCTTTTACATTCGGCTTGTGTTACAGAAATAGTTCATATTATTTTATAAACATGGTACAAATTGTCATAGGTTTTGTCGTTGAGTCTATATGCAGCAAGAATTTGTAACACACAAGACGGACACAATCCACATGCTCTATTAGTATGCTGATAACAGCGCGGTTCTTCTACGTCATCCTTTTAATCTGCATTCTCTCTCAATGTTGTCGTTAAGGGCAAGGACAATTTCAAAATCTCATAGTTAGTGACAAATGACAACAGCTCGGCCTTTATTTTATCAACCTTGGCATCTGGTAAAAAAATTGATAATGCAGTGTAAACTGTTTTCAGGAATTCCCGAAATGGCAAGATCACCAAAGTATAATTGTCGATGTGAAGTGAAGCGTGACTCAAGACATTGGACTACCTGATCCATCACCGCATTGTAAGTGTGAATTCTGTAGCGTTCAAAAACTTTGGATTTGTCACGATCGTCAACTGTATGTTCATCTAACATCATAACATCATCGATGTCTTCCACTTCCGTTTAACTGGTAGTTCTATCTTCACCTCTAATATGGTTTCAGTTCTCTGGATGATGCTTGCGTTTGCCATCAGTAGAAATTGAAGAGCATTATTATAAACATCATCAAAATGTCTTGATTGATCTTTCAATTCAATTGGGGCTTTTTCCACCCTCTTGAATGCAATCAACACATTTAATCCACGAGTTTGCAAGTATATTAAAAGTTCCATTTTTTTTTTAAATTTGCAGGTAGGTATAGGCAGTTAAAATGGTGTCAAACTTCAGGAATGGCATTAACAATATCTTTGCTTCATGACGTGTCTTAACATCAAAATTTTCTGATTCGCTTGTACATGACAGACAAAAAATTAAATTGACAAACACTTTTGAAAATGGCTCAGCAAATGTTCCAAATATTGCAGTTGCAGCATTTGATTTACCCTTCTACCTTGTTTTACCAACTAATTTCAATCTTTTCATCTTATCTATTCCAACTTGTGTATCAACAAGTTTAATCCATGTTGCCATTCGCTTATATGACACTTTTATAAATGGTTTCAACATTTTGCAAAAGGTTAAAAAATGAAACTGCCTAAATGCTCTCTAAATTTCGGGATCAAAACCCCCAAGAGCTAGACCCTTGCTTTTCGAGGCGTTGATCACTGAACCACTTGCTTTTTCAAAGATTTTTACGTTTTCAAAGAAATAGCGGACACATTTTACGTCCTTGGCAAAAAAGTTCAAATTGTCTGCGTACTGCTGTAGTTTTAGAGATTTCGGTGCTCCCGGTATAGGAAAACCCTTTATTCTGCTGTCCGTTCTTATCACCAAAGCCATAGCTTCGGCGACAAAAAGTGCAACAAAAGAGAGAGAGGGTCGCCTTGTCTAACACCCCTTTCTGTAAGAAAGAAGGTCGACAGGAAGCTGCAATTCAGAACAGTTGCCGAAACTTCTGAATACAAGGTGTTAATAAAAGATACAAAATTTTCTTCGAGATTAAATTTTTGGAGAATTTGCAGCAGAAATGCACGATTGACTTTGTCAAACGCCTTTTCTTGATCTATGCTCAAAATGAAACTAGGTAGGGTAGTTTTTTAAATTCAGCGTAATCTATAAGATCACGTACTAGATGTAAATTTGAAAAAATGTTTCTACCTGGAATTCCGCAAGTCTGATTTGGTTCTATAATTTTTCCCATTACTATTGCAAGTCTCAGGGCCAGCGCTTTTGTGATTATTTTGTAATCGGCGCCGATTAAGGATATAGGCCTCCAATTTTTGCATTTAGTAAGATTTCCTTGTTTGGGAATCAGTGAAATTATTGATTTTTTCATAGAGTGGCTTGTTTCACAAATAGAACTCAATGACTATGATTTTTTTTTTTTTTCTTATAAAAATATATTTTTCGTTGTGAGTAAGATGCCTATGATACGTTAACTTGACATAGTTTAATAACATAGCAGACATGATCGCTCCGGACTCAAGTCATCGTTTTTGTTATAAAACACTTAAATAGTAATTGTGGGTCCAAGATCAAATTTTCACGCACATTATGTAAAACTGTTAAAGACATTAACAGTTTTACATAATGTAAAACTGTTAATGTCATTAACAGTTTTACATAATGTGCAAATAATAACAAACGCAGAACAAACAAGCCCGTCGAGAGGGGGGGGGCAGATATCCAAGGGGCGCCAAATGAAATGTAGGAACCTAAAAAAAATAAAAATAAGGTCTTTCATATATAATATAGGGAAAATTTGAAAAAATCAGGTGGTGTGACTGCTCTCGGCGGCCCTGAGTTCAAATATAACATTAAAATTCTAATATCTATGTACAGAGGCGATTCTACAAATAAAGTGAGGGGGCAGGGGGAATGAATTCATTAAAAGTAGCTACTGGCTTCTTAAAAAAATAAAAATCCTCAAAACTAAAATTTAACCCACTGAATTGTGTCAAATACCCGACTAGCCGACTAAGTTTGTAAAAAAACCAACTGAAAATCACCTTCAATGGAGGATCCTGAGGCATTCCTCTGCACAGAGGATCACCTCTGTGCAACCATCGTTGTCGGGTAGGCCATGGAACACTAGCCCCCCCCCCTCAAACCACTAGCTCCCCCCCCTCTACTTCACCGGGATTTCCCGGGATTTAATAGAAAAAAACGCAATTGAATACTTTTTAAGTAGGAGAGAGGGGGCACGATGATACACTTTTTACATTTTCTGACATTAAAAGCTAAATATAACATTTTAAGTGGAAATAATAACTTGTATATGTTCCACTAAGTATCCTGCATATTTTAGTACCACAATTTTATTGATCAGAACATAATTAAAATAAATACAACACAAAAAGTTAGGTAAAGATTTGTTTATCGACCTGCCCCATGCTGGGGCAAGTTGATACACACCATGGGGCAAGTTGATACATTTAATAAGTGTTGAAAATGAAGCTTTAAAAAACTAATTAATTCATCAAACACAAAAGATTAGGTAAACAAACACAAAAGATTAAGTAAAAAAATACAAAAGACAAAAAATATATATTTTATTAGGCCTATTTACCTATTTTTTATCTCTGCGAGAAAAAAAAAACTTTAATCTACACAAAACAATTTAATTGGATTAATGCAAATACATAAACAAAAATATTTTTTCTGTATCAACGTGCCCATTTAGACCGCGTTGCATTAAATTCGAGTTAAATTTTAACAGAAGCAAGGAACATTGTTCGTTTGTTCGTCGAACAAACAAATGAAATATGCAAAATCATTTAGCAATGTTTTCTTAAACTTATTGAAGGATTGATGAGCTAAATGTACATACTTTTTTACAAGTACTTAGTTACAAAAAAAACTTCCCAGCTTGATCAACTTTGAAATGAGCAGAAATCTTTTTACATCAGACGTTAGGGAACTAAAAAGCTATTTCCCGTACCAAATCTTATTCGCACAATTAGTGTAATAGCTGTTTTATTAGTTTTGTATCAATTTGCCCCCGTATTAACTTGCTCGCCCCGTCCCCTACTCATCAAACACTTAAAAATGATTATTTTAATAATAGCATAACTAAAATGTTTAATACATTAATGAACCTAAAATTAAGTTAAAAACATGTTTTAACCTAATTTTGCTATATTAAAAGTTATCTACGACTTTTAAAAGTTAATTAACCTAAGTACTTTAAATTATAAAACAATACCTTAAAATGGTAACGCAGTATAAATAAAAATAATTATTAAAAAATAATATAAGTATGCAAGACTTCATAAATTAAACGGACGATAAGAAAATTATATATATATATATATATATATATATATATATATATATATATATATATATATATATATATATATGTATATGTATATATATATATATATATATACATATATATATATATATATATATATATATACATATATATATATATATATATATATATATATATATATATATATATATATATATATATATATATATATATATATATATATATATATATATATACATATATATATATATATATATATATATATATATATATATATATATATATATATATATATATATATATATATATATATATATATATATATATATATATATATAGTGCAATATAATATTATATTTTATATGTTTGATCGTACATATTTTGCAGACAAGCCAAAACGTTTTGAATTTTTATTTTTAATAAAATAGAGAAAGAGTTTTAAAAAGAAAACATTGTAAATTAAATAAATAGTTACACAATCAAACAGCTACTATACCAAAGTCGATGTACAAATTACTTAATTGCAATTATAAGCTTAAACTTTATTAAATTTTACTATTTTTGACATCCCGAAATCCTGGGAAATTTGAGAGACTAATTTGTACGAAATCCCGGGATTTCAAGATCATCTCTAATATAGCGGACTTTTTTTTTAATTTTTTTTTCACGATTGTGCCCTTCCACTTTGAAAGCCATATCATCGGCCCTGATTAATATTTTATTTTTAAAATTTTAATGTAAGTGCAATGAAAGTTTAACGAAACGTTTGCAATGTGTTTTCGAATATTGCAAACTTTTCGTTAAAATTGGCGGAGTGTTTTCAAATCAGTTGTGTTTACTACTGCATTTTAAGATATACCTCGAAACACTGGTGATTTGAAAACACTCCGCCAATTTTATTAGATAAATGTTTTGAATTACTAGTCGCCCACGTGCTCCTAACTTAGTTGTTAATATAGTTAAGGTAAAGGTTGAGTAAATAAGTAATTTTACCTCAAGCTTTATTGAGATTGAGAACATAACGCAAAGAGCATTAAGCTGTCAACATTATTAAAAATCAAGAGTTAATGAAAAAAGGGGCTTATGTTTAAACTAATCTTCTCGTGTTTTGATAACGGTTCGTATGGATGTTAAATTTTTAAGGTAAATATTATTTATTCGTATTGTTTATTCGTATGGATATCATGATATTTTTGAAAATCTTAATTCTTTATTTTGTCATTTTTTTAAACTTTTTAAAAATTCTTATCTAATTGAATGGGTTGCACGAATCGTTTTAGATGCAAGTAGTGTTTTTTTAAGCACATATCACTAGGTATGCGAGTAAAAATTTCAAATTATTAAAATATCTTACTGTTATATATCATTGGAAAGAGGATCAATACAGTATTTTAAAGGTGAAAAAGTTATCAAAACCGAACAATTGGTTTAAAAGTTATGACGGTTTAAGTAACGATTATTCGATATATGGAATTGTTGAAGAAACTGTTGTTAAAATTATGTTTTTCTTCACTTATATTGTCATAACTTTGTCAATTCTTATCATAATACAAGTATCTTGGTGTCAAAAGATAGGTGTAAGAGTGGCCTACATATTTTTGTTGAACTCTTACCATTGGGCGTATCAGATGGACAGAGGGGGCACCAAACCACCACCTTACCCGTATGAAACTGAACATTTTTTTTCAGAAAAAAGAACTTTTTCAAGACATTAGCTGTTTAAATATACTAAAAAGTTGATATAAATTTATATTTAACCTCAAAGTATATAAGAGTATAGAGGTTATATTTAACCACCAAAGTATTTAAATGATAGAGGTGGGTGTGGTGGTGATAGTTTGATACACCCTAGCATCAAATATGATTTGTTTTCATAAATATTTTTATCTTTACAAAAATGAATTCAGTTAGTACACAATATAAAATTATGTTCTACAAGAATTTTAGTATACAAGTGGTGTTTACATCAACGTATGGGTGGAGGGGGCGTGTACCCCCCCCCACGACCTAAAAAAAAAATTAAAATAACACAACTACTGTTTATTTAAATCCCAAAAAAAACTTATAAAAAAATGTTTATTTAAATCCCAAAAAAAAGCACACATTTGTTTGATTGCGGTGGTACTACAAAATACTGTTCGAAGAGTTGCTAGTAAACTTTTAGACTTTACTGTTCCAATTGTAAGATATTGTTTAAATTTACTGTGATACTTTATTAAAATAAAACAAGTATAGAAAAGAATGTGAAGCCTGTTTCCGCAATACATAGGAATGATACCTCGTGATAAATCATTATTATCTAAAATATTTATAAAACCTTGTGGATCGTCTTTTACATCTTTGAATCTCATTTTGTTTATAGCTAAAATAATCAAGGTTGCCATGCAGCCATTTCCAAACAATTTGCATTTCTCATTCTCTAGAGACTTCAATGCTGAACGGCATGATGTATCAAGTGCCATTTGCACCCTCTTGATACAATTGTATCAAGAGGGTGCAAATGGCAGTTCAACTCATTTAGACTTTTACCTCAGGTTGCAAAAACTTTGCTTATAGTAAGATGATTAACAGCAACTCGATCAGACATTGTGTTTGAAATCTTAATAATAATTGAACTACAATATTCGTTATAGCTGCAAGAGTGAAAATGAGAATAAATAAAAACCATATGATCTATGGCATTACATATATAGTTTTTATAATCATCAGCTGTTCCACCAGGTAGTTGGTCCAGAACAACAACTAAGCATTTATCTTTTGACGTCAAGTGAATACTGTTAATACCTTCTTGTGTTACCCAAGAGTAAGTTGACTATTGTTGATTGCCCATTCAGCTGCCTGCATGCTTGAAATACTGCCAAGCTCAAGAGCCATTTGTTCAACGGAATTGCAATGTGGAATATCAGATAAAAAATAAATCCTAAACATTGTCCAATTTTCTGAATCAGAAAAGGAATGTTACCTGTTGGTAAAAGTGTTACCAAAAGTGTAGTTGCGCTTTCCTCTTTTTGAAGCAAGTTGTTTTCCAAACTAGCAATCATTTTTTTATTTGCCCTATTATCTGTGTTATGCTTTACTTGCTTCAACTTTTGTTTTTCATATTTTAATTTCTTTATTGTGGCTGTATGATTTTAAATTTGTTGAGTATAATAAGACATTTTCATTTTAGTTTTTAATTCTCTTAACTCCCTTCTTAAATCCTTTATAATATCTTCTTTTCTTTTAACACTTTGTCTTAAAAGTTTTAGTTTATATGGAATGTTATTTAATTTAGACTTAACTATAGCTATATTTGTTCTGTATTTCTTGTAAGAGGTAGCTAACTGATTAGCCAAATTAGATAATTGAATCTTCAATAGATTTTCTTACGGTGGAATTTCTTGTCTACAAGTGAAAATATCTTGTACATGATTACTACAACTGGCTGTAGGTAAAAACTCCTTGTGTGTCTCAGATAAAAGACTTTTATGTTCGTAAGACAAAGACAAATAAATGGGAATTACTAGGACTAGACTGGGATGGTTGTGTCATTATTGAGATTGTTGGGTAGCATGTAAACAGCTTGTTGCAAAAATTGACAAAATGTGAACAGTCCCTTTTAAAGTTATGTTTCCATTTTTTTGCTACATTCACTACATTTTGGACATGATATGTGCAAGTATTGAAGTTAAAAAAGTTATTGACTTTTTTAACAGTTTTCGTATATATCTCACCACTTTTTATGAAATGTTTGTATCATTAAACAATTTATATTTTGCATTTAAAAAAGTGTTGATTTCTTCTCCAAATATCAATGCTTTAATAATATCAATTCAATATCAATGCCCATAACACCTATATATATATATATATATATATATATATATATATATATATATATATATATATATATATATATATATATATATATATATATATATATATATATATATATATATATATATATATATATATATATATATATATATATATATATATATATATACATATATACTAAAATCAAACAAACATCAATAAACAAAAAATTTTGATATTCTATTAAGAATAATTGTAATTTAATTTTCAAATTGTATTCAAGATTAATCACAAAAAAATTTACAAACATTATTACAAGTATAACTTAATTTAAAAAACTTTTTTTTTGTATTTAAATACAAAAACAAACCTTAACAAAACAAAAATATTTATATATGTTTGTGAGGTTTGTTTCACTTCTTATATCATTTATTTTGAGTAATTAAAATTTTTTAATGATTAAATTGGTTTGAAAAACTTAAAAGGTAAATTATGTTATTTCATTAACTAAAATTAATGAACTAACATAATTTACCTTTTAAGCAGACAATTGACTGAAATGAAGTTTTTCAAACCAATTTAATCATTAAAAATTTTTAATTACTAAAAACAAATGATATAAGAAGTGAAACAAACCTTATAAACGTATATAAACATATTAAGGTTTGCTCCATTAATGTATTATCAATAAATTAATGAAACATTTAATACTATTAATATAAACATAAATTTATAATATAAACATAAAATATCAATAGTGTTAATTATTAAATAAAGTTGTTAAAAACTAAATTTAAAGTTTAATAAAATAAAAAAAAGCCAAAAAAATCATAGTTTATCAAAAAAATCACATTTTACTTAGTATATATATGTAAGTTATTAAGGCTTAATAACTCACTTAACTTGTGTAAGTTATAAATTTAAAGTTAATGTTATTAATATTTAATGTTATAAAAAGGCAATCATAGCATTACATTACTAATATTTGTAATAAGCATTTATAGCATTTATATTACTAATATTTGTCATTCTTATTACCAATATTAATAGAAATATTGCTGTTTATCTAAATTAAAATAATAAATAATAAATTATTCAATAGACCCCTCTGACTCCCATGCTAGTATTAAGGAAAATGTAAATTAAGTACCAAAGGTGTGACAATAAATAGAATGCCTGCTACATAAAATTTTTCAATGAAATTTGGGAGGTGCATAGATAAATGAAAAAATTAAAAAAAAAAGTAGGAAAGAAAAATATTGCAGCATATATTGGACATTAACTTTACCATCGAAGTATGACAAAGTTTTGACATCAATAAACTCGTTAGTAAAGCAAGTGAGTATAATTAAAACCAAGTACAAGAAGAAGCTCAACTATTCTACTTTCTAAAAATATACTATATTGATAACAAATGCTAAAAAATTATTCCACACAGCCTTCCTCAACCATGCTAACTTTGAAGAGACACGAAAAGCGTGGATCAAAATTTTAGCACAAAATTCGGTTCCGTAAATCGCTTTTATCGCGTACCTAATATCACTGTTACTTTTCTTCATTAGTTTTAATTTGTTTTCTCTACAACAAAAATAATGCTTATATAGCTGAAAGAGGTTATTAGTACAATTGATGCTCGTTTATGTATTTAGTATAACCTAAATATGAATTGCTTAAGCAGAAAAAAATGTTAATTAAATGTTGAACAAAATTGAAGTTATAATCAATATATGTTTTATGCTTTTATCAATATATGTTTTAATAAAAATAAAAATAACTAAAACTTTGTTTAAGTAAATTTTTCTCTTTGGCTTCAGAAAGACAAAAAACGCCAGTCTGAAAATAACTTTGAACAAAATAACTTTAGTCTAAATTCATTTTCAGTAGCATGGGTATCAGTATTCTTAAGACACACACATCTATTACAAAGCATACACAACAATTGCATAACTAAGGTTAACTATTTGATGTTAAGGTTAACTAAGGTTAACTATAGGTTAACTTAAGGTTATAGGTTAACTATAGGTTAACTTAAGGTTAACTAAGGTTAAATAAGGTTAACTATTTAAAGTCAGAAAAAAGATGTTCAATCAAAAACATTAAATGCTATCAAAAGTAAGGTAATGTTCCAAATATGCTTTAAAAAAAAGCAGAATTGATTTAGTGTTTTGGTTTTATTCAAAGTAAATTTAGATCAAGTGAGAATAAGTCTAAACATTTTGCTAGCATGTTTAAAAAAAAATGTTAATTTTAATAATAAAAAATTTCAAAAAACTGGATAACTCTGTTATCCGTTTTTTATTAACTTTTATGTCATTTTGGTTTATATGAAGTTTATATTAAGTTGATGA